TGAAGTGCAGACTACAATTTTTGTTCTCAGGCTTGTATTATACACAATGAAATTAATCTATGATTCTTCTTATACCTGCATGCCAAGTCTCAGCCCGGTCGGTTTAAAATTGACAAAGTTTCATACAAACTTTCATTCCCTATTTTATCCCCTTGGGGGTAGAATTGATCAAAATCCTTTCTTAGCGAATGCCTACGTCATAACATCTACCTGCATGCCAAATTTCAGCCCGATCCGTCCAGTGGTTTGGGCTGTGCGTTGATAGATCACTATGTCAGCAGTCACCTTTGAGTTTTATACACTTCTGGACACATCTATTGGCCCACCTTAGAGTTTCGATGGCCCCTACCGAAATATGATTGCTAGATTGAACAAAAACTGTTGATGCAGTTTTAAACCTGATACATTTTACCATCTTTTTCGATCGTTTTGTTTTAAATTTGAATTCAGAATACCATACGACATGGAGCTACGCCTAACAAGTCGGATATGTGCCTTGTGGGCGCGCTGTTCGGTGGGCTCGCGTTAGTTTGGGCCCATTAGCTGGCTTGTGTGGTACCATATCGCGTTCTTTTAACCTTCTCCGAACAGTTCGAGCGCTCACAGATACTTTGTGGAAGTCGCGAATTTGTTTTTGTATCTCAATGGAGGTAAGGTGACGATTTCTCAAGCTGGTCGTCACGATGAATTGATCCTGCCTTTCAGTTGTGACCCGAGATCGTGGCCTTCCTTGGCGACGAACAAAGCCGCCAGTCTCTAGGTACTTCCGATAAACATTTCGGACCGCAGATCGACTTAAATTAAGTTGAGCACTCACGTTTCTTTGGCTGTGTCCGGCCTGAATAAGTGCCACAGATTGGACGGCGACTTCAGGTGAAGTATCCATAGATTATTGATAGAACCTCACCTTAATGTTAAGAATAAGTAATGTTTGTTGCAAAATCAAAGATATCAATCACTTTTTCAAGAATTAAATCCAAGTAAACCAATAAGACCAAGTTTTCTTAGTATTCGATTGTTTGATATCAACAAACAGGCTCCAAATTGTCTTTTGTTTCTTTAAATTCTGTGTTCGAAATTCAAAAAAAGACTATTGAATGAAATTGTGAATGTGCCAGGTTCAAAACTGCATAAAAACTTTTTGCTCGACCTAATATAAAATTTTAGCTAGGACCAAACGAAACTGAAAATACAAGGTGGGCCAATAGATGTGTCCAGAAGTGTATATATAGATATAATCCGGTCCCTAGTAATTTGTAGTCGCTAAATCCAATCTGGGATCAGATTTGGGATTGCGGTCCTTCCCTAAAAAATAAAAAATAAACAGATTTCTGCATCTGAATCCGATATCAAATCCAATTTTTGCAATTTCCGGGGTAAGGGGCGAGGCGGCAAGGATCTGGGTCTCCTAAAAAATCCATCCAGGGTAACCACGGGAGGGGGGGGGGAGGGTCAGTTTACATAAAATATCTTTTCCTGAATCCGAATTTAATATGAAACATCCCGGATTCACACGACAGTCACTAATTCATATGCTTTTGTTTTCTCATCATCATCATCAGCCTATTAATGTCCCCACTGCTGGGGCACAGACCTTCCCTACGGAGGGAATAGTGAGATTGGGCCATGACCCACCACGCAGGCCCAGTGCGGATTGGTGGCTGCTAACGACTGCAGATGCAGCCGGGTCCAACGGCTTAACGTGCCTTCCGAAGCACGGAGGAGCTCGAGATAGTAAATTTTTGGTCACCCATCCAATGACCGACCACTGCGAAAGTTGCTTAACTTCAACTATCGTAGCCGAACGCGCTAACCACTTGCGCCATCGAGCTCCTCGCTCTCTCTAATCAGCTCTTTGTTTTCTATCACACTTTATTCATTCTCGATGAGGCTAGTAAGGATTGATACTGAGCCCGCGTTAAATCCTACAAAAAAAATAACATTTGTAAAATTTTCCACATTTATTAAGTATTTGAGGTGACATTAAATGGAAAACTAAATTTTGCTATAGACGAAGCAACGCGGTCTTAATGATATAATTTCAATAGTACTTATCTTTAAATTTACTATTCAAACAACAGTAAATTGTAATAAGATAAGGTTTGAATAATTTGGCTGTAAATATTTTTTATATGTGAATGAAAAAAAAACAGAACTTTCGTTATATTTTATTTATGGCAATAAAATAAATATAGGAATCAGTAAGTAATGTCTACAAGACTCACATTGACTTATCACATATAATAATTAAAATAACTATTACGGTAATAGGTATGCAAATAATATTTTAAAATAATTAACACTAACTACCGATTTTAATATTCTTAATAATTAAAAGATATAAGTATAAATATTTCATAAGCTAAAGACACCTTAGCCGAGTCTTATGTATATCTTTCATATTTTTAATAATAAAACATTTATGTTGTGCAATATCTAATATCACATCCAAATTAATACAACGACAGCTGACATTAATAAATTAATTTAGCGCATGATGAGGCCATCATATGTGTTAGTCTGTTCGTATTAATTAATATAGCTGTGTTGATGGTCCAAAAATAAATAAATTAATGTTTCCGTATTATAAATATGCAGATTCCTCATAGATTTTGAAAGCAAAATCAAACCAATCTATTTGTACTCTATAACAATAATACCTAAGTTAAAATACTTAATTAGTGTGCCAAATGTAAATAAATGACATTACAAAACTAAGCAACTACTTTAAAATGGAATGTAAATTATTTAAAATATTATAAGGTAAATTTCTATGTATTAAGAAACAGCTATTTACAAAACAATAGAAAAAGTATACACAGTGTTAAATATTATAGCAATATGTATCGTATACGATTGTAGTGACATTTGAAATCTGACTTAAAATGTAAGTGATATGGTATAACGCCATATAAAAGTAGAATTTACAATGTAATGTACCTTTATGCTGCTTATAAAATGTTATTATTTATTATTGACAAATAATAATTATTAATGACAAACAAATTTTTACATTAAATAGTATTATTAGAATGCTTGAATATTTTTTTAGGACTTCATTTAGATATTTATAAATATTTCAATCTGATATGTCTGAGAAAAAGACGGTAAGTGCCGCCGCACACGGACAGCCACAAACGCCGCCACGAGAAGCCAGAAGCGGCTACTAAAGTGGCTGAAACGCGCGACAGCGGCCGACTAAGGTAAGGGAGAGAGGGGTGGGGAATCGCGCGAGTGACGTGTGGCGGCGTTTAGTATCGGCGCATTAAGTGGCCGATGTGGGCCACAAAAAGCGAGCAACGACGAATTGTAGCCTGTGGCGGCCACCGGCGTACCGTGTGTGGCGAGTCCATATAAAATGTATGAAAACTACAAGAAATAATTATGTCGGTGGCGGCGTTTTGTGGTTGTGGTCGATGGCCCGTGTGCGGCAACACTAATTCGGGCAAAAACATTATTTAACACCAACAGGTGGACAATATTTTAAGTAACATATTTTTCAAAAATATTATAATCAAAATCTTAGTTGTCTGAGAAAGTTACCAAATATTTTTTCTAATAATAAAAAGAAGCATTGTTCTTGCAATTCTTAAGGCTTCCGAAAAAATTATTTCCTTATTTACTAAACTATATACAATTATATTTAATTACTTGTAGGTACCATAAACTAAATTCGGATTCGGAAATTGCGATTTTTAAAATACACATTTTTTTTTAATAAAGTCTACTTTATTTCAATCTACCTATATACTTAATGAAATTGTATGCAATAATGTGTACTTATTGGCCCGTTTGCACCAAGCTACAAAAGCTAAAAGTTTATCTTTGTTATAATAGGCAATATTAAGTATTTAGAATACGAAAAATAAAGTAATTTGTTTTTGTATATTTTTTTTGGATAATGGGTTAAAAACGTTCTAAAAGTTACGCGCTATATGTCTGCTATCAAAAAGTACCTTAGGATCGACTTAATGTGTGAACTACAACAACATACACCTAAACAGTACCCTTAGCATGAACCAAAATCGAATTCGAATAGTTTGCGAGTCCGAAATGTCATTGTCAAATGTGTACTGATTTTTACTTCTCGTTACGTCTTTTGTGGCGCTGCTATTCAAGTTCCCAAACAAAATTTGACATTGACATTTCCTACTCGCAAACGTTACGAATTCAATATTGGTTCGTGCTAAGGGTACAGTACTTATTTTGATAATTCTTTGTGTAAGTTATGGACATATATATGTCGGCGGATGGCGTCTCACTCGCTCCTTCGAAACGTTAAACCGACAACAAATGTCACCAGTCAGTGTACCACTTTGGTGTACCATTGCTTTGTGAAACGTCAAATAATGACAGTGACAACTGTCATCACTTGGGAGTGGTCTATGCTAAGGGTAGTATTTAAGGGGCTATGCTTCATTGGAAGGGGCGTACCTCACTAGGAGGCCGCACCGTCCTTCTCGCGCATATGCTCTAGTATCTGACTAAAGCAGCGCTGCGTCGCTCCCCCCCCTGGGGGACGATCGCTTCCGATGAAGCCTTAGAGGCCTTCCCGGCCAGAGGCAGCCCCTACGGGTGTTTTTAGTCAGTACGAGTCTGACATAACCTTGCAGCCGGCTGTAGGGTATCCATGAGGATTTCTCACCCGCTCCCCCGCCTGGGAGGAATCAAAAAAAAAAAAAATTGGAAGGGGCAATTCAGCATTCAGACGTGAGCCGCGATAGTGAACGGACGTTAGCACAGAACTCTCCACGCTTCGCAAAGCAATCCGTTTGTACCTTGGCAATCATAACTGATTTTGTAAAGTAATAAGAAGCTTCAAATTAAACGTAAGCTTGGTCACTAGACTACAGTTTTATTTTCGGGAAATAACATCGAATACCCAAGATGGCGGATCAAGACGAACCACGTGGCCAACCGCCTATCCCGCTCGCCCATCCGACATATAAGTTTAAAATGGCCTTTTTGTGTATCTATTCGGAATTGCTAAAAGAGGTGGTTTAACTCGCAGTTTGGTTTGTGGTATTCATTTGTATGTTTTCGGTGGGTTTCTTCTGGTGTGCTATTTGTTCGGCTTCCTTGATGGTGTCTGGCAGGCGGGTGTTGAGGGTCTCCGGGGTTGTCAGCATCAACCCACCCGCTACTAGGGCTGCACTGCCGAACAGTACTGAGGGCAGCCACTCTACGTAGATGGCCTGGAAAATAGATTGTTAGTTAATTAGTTACACTCTTTGGGTTTTTAGACCGCAAGTATTATTTCGGATGCTACGATAGACGGGACTTACAATACCTAGTGGCGATTGGGTTATAGGAACAGCAACAGTAGCAGGTGCTACGGCATCACGGACATGGACAGAATAGATTGAACATGAAAAAAAAGTCATGTTGGGTGATTGGTGCAGTCTTGCAGGACGATATAAGCGAGGAGAAGTCCTTACATATCCTCGTTGCAACTCCTGGTGGCGTGGAAGACGCAAGGGCGGATCCAGCTTTGGCGCCAGGGGGGGGGTCATATAGCCAGCTTTGGCGCCAGGAGGGGGGTCATATAGTCGTGGTATATTAAATATTGAAAGTACTTATATAAGCCCAGGGGGGGGTCATGACCCCCATGACCCCCCCTCCCTGGATCCGCCCTTGGGAAGACGTCACGTCTTTCTCAGATAAACGATGGCCCCGATGCGTCTCATCATGGAGCAGAAGAGTACGTTTGGAAATACAACAAGAGCATATTCTAAGAATTATAATCATCGCAAGCGGCACCTCAGTGGACAGTATAGCATTAATCTAAAATTACACAGCAATAACTGCAAATATCAATAGATCTATGTTTACCAAGAGTGGCATCTGCGGTGCCACTATAAACCCGATACTTCCCTCCATCGAGCAGAAGCCGAGCAGCCAGTGTTGAGTATACGTTGGAACAATTACAGCAGCATATTTAAATGTCAATAGACCTATATTCACCAGAATAGGAACCTAAGGCACCATAATACTGGAATTACAGATGTAGCTGTATTGTCAATAGTATTATGTTTACCAGGAATGGCATCTGTGCCAGTGCAGAAGCCGAGCAGCGAGTGTCTAGTAATCGTGGGAACTATTACAACAGCATATTTAAATGTCCAGAGACCTGTGTTTACCAGGACTAGCATCTTCGGCACCATGATGGACACCGGCTAATTGTAGCTATATTTAAAGTAACAACAAAGTTTTGTTACCAGAAGCGGCATCTGCGGTGCGACAATAGACCCGATGCGTCCCACCATGGAGCAGAAGCCCAGGAGCGAGTGTCTTGCGTGCGTGGGGAACAGCTCCGACGTGTACATGTACACGCCGCTGAACGCCTGCGTAATCGCGATTTTGCCCAGCAGGTACAGCAGCGTCGATAGCCATGATAACGCTGTAAATTTACATGAAAAATGTCTGATAATGTGACGTTCCGGTTCAAGAAGAATTTTACAAAAACATTATTTGATTTTGCTCCTTTGCGCTCAACAATGTAACGGTAATGCTACCAAGATCCTAGGGAAGTTAAGAATTGTTTACCACAAAATTTTTTTATTGGCTAAATTACCAGGAATCCTTCTATTATTATAATCTTTAAACCTTGGTTGTTTGCTACTTAATCACGCAAAAACGACTAAACAGGAGCTTAATCAGAAACTTGCTAATCGGAAGGCGATAGTATTCTGAAAATAATTAAACATAAAATGTTTGCTAATGATATTTCATACATAGCAGCATTTACTCCACTATCACCTAAGCCAATTTCATTTCACACTTACTTTTTGGCACAAATGCGATAGCTATGCACGCGATCCCGCAGACGGTGTAGGCTGACAGCAGCGTCCTCTTTCTCCCAATCCTGTCCAGCACCAGAGCGTTGGTGACCACTGCTATAACCTCCACACTCACGACCAGCATATAGTTTGTGTATTTGTCACCAGCCAAGGACACAGAGTTGATAGCCAGTCCGTAGAAGACAAACGTACAAGTAATCCACCACCAGGAGCAGATCGCTAACCGAGTCATTATTATCGGCGATCTCAGTACTTGCATCCACAGCCCCGATTCCTCCTCGGGATTCTTTTTCTCGTCTATCGGTTTCGTCTTTTCCTCCGTTAGCTGTTTCATAGTTTCTTCTGATAGGGTCACTTTGTTCATTTTTGCTGCTTTCATTATTATTTCCACTGCCTCCTCTTTCCTTCCCTTGGATAAGAGCCATCTGATACTTTCTGGCAACAGGTAAATGTAGAGTAGGAACAGCAAGGAAGGAGGGTATACCACCATGATGAAAGTTCTCCAGTAACTGAATGTTTTGGCGAGGAGGGCGAAGCTAAGACCGCCGAGTACAAGCATGATGCCCTGGAATGCTGTGGTGAGAACTCTTTTGTCCTGTCCCAACAACTCGATAGCTAGAAATAAAGAAAAGGTCATTATTTCATATTCGCACTCTAACATTAAGTTGCTTATTATATTTTGGTCAACTAAATCTATATATACACATATATATAAATCAATTGTTAGTCTCGCTAAAACTCGAGAATGGCTGGCCCGATTTAGCTGATTTCTGTTTAAAAATGTTTGTCGTAGTCCAAAGAAGGTTTAAACGGTGAGAAAATATGGAAAAATTACGAGGGAGATAGTAAAAATACAATTTCATTTTTCCATATAAACTGTTCTATCTATATTCCTGTCAAACAGTTGACAGTTGAGTTCGTCGTTTATTATTTCTTCCAAATTATTGTAAGCAGTGCGAAGTACGCTGGGTCAGCTATTAAATTATATTTTTTTACATCATTTTAACAAAAAATCATACCAATTAAAAAAACCTCATTTCCTAAGTTAACTTAGTAAGCTTAATTGGACAGCCTAAACTGATACTGGTAGCACATAATATCTGATACAAATCTTGTATTATTGACAATAACATGAGCCTGAACAAATGATCCTAGCAGTGAAGCCTGCGTCTTACAAACTCTCTTCACATAGTGATTTATCAATTCTTTGGACTCACTCAAAATGTATGCAGCAGGGAAGGCGCTCGCTCCCGCGACAGTCTCCAGGAATTCAATGATGATGTACATTTCGTAGGAGATGGAGAACGCCTTCAGTGAACCGATGGCACCCACCAGCGTGCAGCTCAGCACCAACGCTCGTTTGCGACCCCATCTACAAATGCAAAATCACCATTATCAGATCAGCAGTGCAATTAACATTATCGATCAAAACGTTGGGAGATGTTTAGAGCGAGAACCTACATTTTGATTTGACTGATTTACACCGAATGTTGGCGATGAGGTAAAAACTTGATCTTGTTGAGCAAGAATATAGAAGCATGGACTAGCCGAATTAAAACAGCTTCCAAAGATGAAAGTGCATTACCTAATAATTTTTGGTCACCCAACCAGTGTCTGACCTTTGCTAAAGTTTCTTACTTCTGCAACTATAAACCCAGTTGCGGCGACGGCATTGACACTTCCATTTGTGAAATAAAGATGCATTTCCTTCTTTAAAAAAAATACTGGTTTGAATGTTATTTTATTACTAAATGCAATTTTTTAAAAGGTCTGCCTATTCTAATATCTCCTTTTGAAAGTTTCGTAATTCCAATTTTACCTTAGTGGTAAAATTTGGAATGCAGACTGGTAAAACATAGGATGCAGCTGATATAACTGGACACTCGAAGCTCTGAGAGACACTCGCATGAAATTGATAACCCTGTCTCTCTAGCAAGAGAGAAAGAGAGCGATGGTGCTGCCCATATACTTATATATAAGATTAATTTGCATCACAACCAGCCGCCCTAGCATGTGCACCGCGATATGATATATAACTCGTTTTTTTCACGCTCAATTGTCAAATTACTATAGAGATTGTAGGAAGGCCAAAGGGGAAGATCTTCCTCCGAACTGGATGATGGTAGCTCGGGGGCCGCGGCCCGGCTGATGTTGGTCGGGCATTGTATATATGAACTGTTTGCCGCCGAATTTCACTTGTGCGATGTTCTTCCATACTATTTGAGTGCAGCGCCGGTAGCGTCATCTCTTGGAGAGTCGAGTGATTAATTCCTCTATGTTGGTTATATGTGGGACATGTAAATGTCGCCGCCACAAGATTGACAGATAGACGCGATAAAAAACGTGATATAATGTAAATTGTGATGCTCATGCTACGGGGACTGGCCGACTCTCTCATACTTATCGGCTCAAATTATTTTTACTTGAACTTGACTTAAACAGAGAATGCTCAGTCGATACTCTATGTCTAATTATAACTCAACAATTTACACTTTTATGACTCGTTTTTCCTAAATAAATTTTCGTTACACGGCGAAAACTCAGTAAATCGAAAGAAGTTGATAGTACAATTTGACACAGTTTTTTCTTAAGAAAATCCGTGAATGTATTTCCATTAATCTATTGTATTAAGAAATTATTGTCACATTAATGAGTTATTATAAAAACATTGACGGAATTAGTCAGACGAACTGTGATTTGTATTATCAACTTATTTCGATTTACTGAGTTTTTATCGACGAGATCATGTTCACAGTGAAGCCAAGTGCCAGTGATGGCGACATGAACAATCAGATGATGCTGATATAATGACGTTTATTATAACATTGACGGAATTTGCCAGACGAACTGTGATTTGTATTTTCAACTTATTTCGATTTACTGAGTTTTATCGACGAGATCATGTTTACAGTGAAGCCAAGTGCCAGTGATGGGGACATGAACAATCAGATGATGCTGATAATGACGTTTATTATAAGCTGACCTATCAGAGATGTATCCGAGGATGGGCAAGGAGACCAGCATTCCGATGTTGTGCACCGTGCCCACCAGGGTGCGCTTCCACTCCTGACATGCGAGGTTAAACTGGAAATATAAAAACATACATTCTGTGTTAAAACATAGTAGCGTTGATATATTTATATAATACATGACAAGGGGACAATTGACTTATGCCACACCAGAGAGGAAGCAACCGGCATTAGATATGAGATGAGCGGTCCTTACAGTACAGAAGTCATGTCTGAAAACAAAAGGATCCTTTATTATGAGTTTTGCTTGTCTGATAAATGAGTTAAACCCATTGATATTCTCCCGTATAAAGTTGATGACATTCGCTACTATCATACTTATATGATAAAGGCGAAAGTTTGTGAGTGTGTATGATTGTACCTTCTTCCCGTCTAAACGACTGGAGCGATTTTAATAAAATTTGGTATGGAGTTAGCTGAAAACCTGGATTAATACATAGGTTATATTTTACTGCGGGAAAATATCCCTAATAAACCGCGGGTAACACCGCGGGGCAAAGCAAGTACGTATTATTAATTTTATAATTAAGACATTAAAAGTTTTATTTAAAAGTTAGACACCTTTAAACTAATAGAACATCAGTTTTATTTGACAATTTTAGATTCGGCAACAGAATTTTGTATGTATACAACTGAGGGCCAAGAATGCTCCCTTGCGGCAGGAAATCGCGAGGTAGCATTTGCATACTAAACACACGCGCCGATTTCATGCCATTGTCTCTAACGTCTATTGTGAGATTTCTACTGTATTGTAAGAATATTCCTTCTTAATGTACGAAAATATAACAGTGTCTTCTTGAATAATTGTGGTCCCATTAAGTAGGTACCGAAATGTATATAGGACCGGATAATAGTATTCGATTTGCTTATTTTGTTTCTACCTTCATTAAATTTACATTTAAAAGCATTTTTAAGAAATAAGGAAGTGGCAACGTGGCATCGTCAAATTTAAAATTAAGATGAGCATTGTTTGCAATAAAGCAGGCAGAAGCTATTAATAATTTCCAATCAATATTACTACTGAAAACGTACTTAATGAACATAAAAACGTCAATGGTCGTCGTAAAATAGGCGACTGTAATACGTAACTTGATATTCATACATGTCTTTCTTGTCATGACGTCATGATCTTAACATCAAATCATTGCACATCAGTTAGGGGCTTTCACTCAGACATACAAGAGATTAGATTACAAAAATTAGATAATCATTTTTCAAAAAAAGGTTTTTCTAACAACATGTAGAAAAAACGCCCCACCTTATTTAGGTGGAAGTAGTCTAGTTGCAAAGATGGCTGATTCGGCAGAATGATGTGCTGTGTGTGTCTTAACCAAATCCTCCGACCATCCAGCAGAATGATGTGCCGCTCCAGTCTCCCTCACCTGCGGCTTGAACTAAATCCTCCCACCATGCGGCAGTAGAATGTGCCGTTCCAGCCTTCCTCATCTTGCGTCCTGAATCAAATCCTCTGACCGGGAGAACCCTTATACCGTACTCACAAACAGATTTAGAACAACATCAAAAGGTTGTTCCACTGTGGTCTTCTGTAAAGTGGAGGTTAAAAAATCATCATCAGCCTATTAATGTCCCACTGTTGGGACACAGGCCTTCCTCACGGACGGAATAAGGATATTGTGCCATGACCCACCACGCGGGCCCAGTGCCGATTGACGGGTGCTAACGACTACAGATGCAGCCCGGACCAACGGCTTAACGTGCCTTGCGAAGCACGGAGGAATTCAATGTCAGGTTATAAATACATCGAAAGAATTTTAATATTTCTGTTTCGTTATTTTTGTGTATTTGAGTAAAGGATAACGCAGAAGGGGGAGGCCTACCCACTAAAACTCTAGCGATGGCCGCCCTCAGTCATTGTACGGGGCCTCAGGATCGAGGATCGCATCTGAGGACCCGCAGCCTTTGCTCCCCTGCTTCTACCAGGGGAGCCCTTCTCGGAGGAGTGTTCGCAACCTCCCCCAGCCACCCTCCTACGACGACACCCCCCGGCCAAGAGGGGGTGTCGTCCTTCCCAGGTCTCTTCCATGAGCACAAGCTCCGTCGTGCTCACCAGAAACCCGCGGCGCATCAGGCCATTATCTGGCCCGACGCCGCCTCCTTCGAGCAGGATTGGCCATCTCCCGATCCCGCTCGGCGGCCTCCTTCTGGAGCATCACCGCTTCACAGAAGGAGGCCGCAGCCCTCCAGCCTCCCTCATCCGCCAGCATTGCCGCAATCGAGTAAAGGATAACCTAACATTTATTATATTAGGAGAATATAATGTTGCTCAAGTTCCCGTTGTAGAGCACCACAATTTACACTGCATCACGTTTTTAATTACATCTGACTGTAAAACTCCATAATAATTTGACAATTGGGCGTGATAAAAACGAGCTAATGATATCAGGGTGCTCATGCTAGGGGGGCAGGATAGCAAATCAAAGACACTAAGGTTACGGCGAGAAATACCATAATGTATATTGTATATTATACTAACTAGCCCAGCGAACTTCGTACCGCCTCAAAAATAAGGGCAGGTGGTAGAAGAGAAAATTTAGGGTTGTATGTAAATTTTAATACCATTTTATAAAAAAATAAATATTGTCCAAAATAACATTCTTCCTAACCCATATGAGAACACTAAGTAACAATACCCAATAGTTTGAATTTTGGCGCGAAGGCGCAAAAGCAGATTTCGGAACACTACGTTACAGGTGAACAACCATTATCACTTAAGGATATGAAAAATAGATAGTAGCCGATTTTCAGACCCACGGAATATGCATATAAAATTTCATAAAAATCTGTCAGGCCGTTTCGGAGGAGTATGGTAACTAACATTGTGACACGAGAATTTTATATATAAGATAAAAATGTATTCTTATTTCCCTTGGTAACGCCATAACTTGACATTTTTTTACTGATGTAATCTTTTTTTTAAGTTTTCTAATACCATACAGAAAATAACTTACGGGAAAAAAGTCAAGAAAATAGTGCAAAACTTAGGTAAACGAAGACATGAGCGGAAGCTAGTATTAGTATAATTATCGCTTCCATAATGACTGCTCATTATATACCTACTTAACGCCACATAGGAAAATAACCACTAATTTCTTGCCTAAAGATAACACTAAAATGATGCTACATAGTTATCTTTGCCCTCGATTTTTTTGTCAGTTTTTTCTGATGCCAGATCTCTTTCTTTCACTACTCAAATAATTTTCAGAAACAGAATTAAGACTTTCATCAGTCCTATCTTTTTTCCACTGTATGAGGTTAAATTTATGAACAAGTATTTTTTGACTGATATTTATGTTTTCGAGGGTACTGAATCCGAATATGAGGTCAGAGTTTAAACTATGATTATTTGAGTAATTAGCCAATATATAGTATCCCAAAGTACCCCATTTAAGGTTTTAATTTTTGTTGTTTTTTTTGTTTTTATATTTTTATTCTGTTTCAAAAGATTTTTTTTTTATTTTTTTTTTCATGAAAACTAAGTACAACACTTATTTCTATTCTGCCAAACAGTGCAACAGTTTGTCGGCAGTAGCTCTCGTGGACGTTACATAATTATTTTTGTACTTATCTCACTATATTTATAAATAGGTACCTTAAAAGAAACGGAAAATATATATAGGGTGAAATTGAATGTTTCTATGAAACTTCGTGAGATTGTTGGGTTATGTGTATAGAGTATGCCTGTCTTATTTCGGATTTTTTTGAAGTATATTTTTTTCATGTATTTATTTATAATTTGTGTATTTTTATGTCCTTTCCTCGTTTTGAGTAGTTATTCATTTTAAACAAACAAACTTACATATCCAGTGAAAAACAACTAATAAATAAGCACTTCTAAAAAACGGAAAAACATTGAAATTCCACCGCGGGTCAACGACCGAACGCGCCCGCCAGCCGTTGAGTAAGTAGCTACCTAACTCTACACAGAGCTCAACTGACTCGTTTGATTCCACACAATAGGTACAATAAAATCGTCTTAGATGCCTTTATTGAAATTGAAATAATAAGCACAAATGTCATCTTTTCTTAAGCAGAGAAAAACTTTAAAAGTTAATAATAATTTTGTCACGATTGGAAATAGGCAAATGTTAAACAAAAAGAAATACTTATTGCTTAATACCCCAAGAATGAAATTTATAACCAGGTATTCAAAACTACTTACGAGACCGGCGATTTAGGTAGGTACAACGAGGAACGAGGAACATATTCATTTTTTTCACTAGAACTTTTTATCAAATCAATCACACTGGTAGTACACAATTAGTTGTTTCTAATCAAAAAGTATTTACACTAGCAATAAAAAGAGACTTAAATTATTATCTGCAAAATTGTTGCTCTAAACCACCATTTTGCTGCAAACAAAGGTGGCCTGTTTGCGGACGTGTCTTTTCACCTTTTTTAAAGTGTCCCTATCACTACTCACTGCACAAAATGCAACTTCTATGGTTTAGGGACTCATTCGTAAACCAAACCTACTTCGTCACACTCGCGATAGCAGTACACCATCTCTAAATATTCTTGGTTTGTATACCGAGGCATAATGAAATTATCACAGTGTATGTCACCAAGTCAAAAGATGCGCACGCTCACGCGCGATTGATATACTTGCGACTGCGTTTTGCATGCAATCAAAGCAAACGTCCGCGTGCGGGGAAGAGGGGAGGTGGGCGGAATTCACATCATCAAAGACGCCGCAACCGGCGCTAGTTGCCAGCGTGCGGCGCGCCGCCCGCCCGTGCTTGCCGCAAAACAACATATTATTATGTGTGTGTGTGTGTGTGTATGTGTGACTGTGGCTGTGATTAAATGTGTTCGGAATTTCATGACGTGGGCAAATCAGACACGAAGAGTTCCTTCCTTCCCTAAGCTCGTAAGTTATACCGATTTGCTCTTAATTTTAAGAAGATTTATATTATTGATTAATTACCTGTGCTTTATGAAATAATATTCAAAGGTATTGTGTATCAGTGAATAAATAATTATAATATAGCATCTAAGACTATTTTATTGTATTGTTTTTAAATAGTGTGGATCAAA